TTACCTTCAGTCATTATCATGTGTGTCAGTAAGGGCTATACTATGTAGCATTACTTATGTTGTGGTATGAAAATGCAATAAAATAAAACTTTAGATAACACAGCATAAAAATATATTTTTGTTCATAAACTTCTTTAAATTTTAGTACTGGTTTCTGTACTTAAATTCAAGTTCTAGAAAAACAGAATGTGCCCAACCTTGAACTTTGCTAACCTTGCCATTAGGAACTGTTTCACATGCTTGTATGCTGGGCCCACATTCTGCCTATGTTCATACCTAGTCAACCCAGTGGATAATTCTTAAGCTTATTTCAGTGAGTCTCCTGACATGTTGGTTATATGTGGAGCTAGAGAAGTTAAAAACTCTAGTTTCCCTTTTCTGTCAATAGGGCTTGCCTGATGACATGGCATTCTGGGAAGTCCTGGTGCTGCTTAGAATTCTAACATAGTTCTTGGTAAGAATAGTTTGAATTTTGGTTCTGTGAAGTTGTCTCAATGGATTAGTCCTGATAGTCTAAACTAAACTAACCTGAAACATAAGAAAATAATAGTTAACATTGCTCTGTGTCATTGTTTTGTTTGTAGGCTTTCACATCGCAAGATTTGCCTGTTCAACAAAATTTTGTTTTATTCCAAAAATTGTTGTGTCTCAGCCTCTTATTTTGGTCAGGCTTATTTATATTTCATGTAGAAGTCCTGCTATCAAAATTTGTAGTGTTACTTTAATAATGTACTTTTTGGCTCCAGTTTACTTGTGAATACTACAGACTGTTATTATGATCAACTTTGATGACCTGACTAAAATTTATTTTTGAAGAGTTTAAATTTCACCTATTTTTCTGTGATCTTTTGTACTGTCATAAATCCTAAGTTTAAGCTTTCTTTTCTAAACTTCATTACAACAGTGATGGACTACATCTTTATTGTACAACATTATTTGGAACATCACTGCAAAGAGATTGGGTCACCAAACGTTGAGAACCATTCTGTTTGTTGAATGCTCTTATCCTTGACATCATGCTACCAACAAACCATTTGGACAGTGGTAATTCTACTAGTTGATAGACTCCATTTATGACTACTTGCATTATACAAGAGGAAGTGCAACCTCTTCAAATGAATGCAGCCTTGGTAAACATAATCTCTGACACTTATAAGAGCACTTTAAGAATGCAAAATGTGCTGTGTGCTGTTATGAACTGTGTAATTGTAATACGTGACTGGGTTACAGCTATCGAACTCAAGGTATTTGAGATGAAATTCTGTGGGCTTTGCAAGATGCAATAACTAGGATGACATTAGATGCACTGTATTACATATGATCTCAGTGGATAAGCTGACCACGCCAGTAAAGAATTAGGCACAGAGTTGTTGATTCTCCATTTCAGAGAATAGCACTGGGTATATGTAGTCCTCTAACAGTGATAATCATTGTGTATTGATTATTCTTAATTACCTCACCGAATGGAACACATTTTATGCACTGTTTGATCTATCAGTGAAGCCTGTCACTGATACCTTAACTGAACAGTGGATAACACAATGCAAACATCTGAACAGAAATCCATTAGGATCAAGTAGCAGAGTTCAACAGATTGTTGTGCAGTGTTATCATTGGATTGACACCTACCATAGTTGGAATAGCAATGAGATATGTAAACCAAAATGGAGTTGTTTCATTTATGTTCTTAGCTATTGAGTGGAAGTTCACAGTAAGATATCTACGTGATATTTTGTACTACCCATATGATTGTAGCATTTAGGACAGTTGTATGATCAACAGCTTGAATAGTTATGATATCAAGGGAGAAAGGAGTTTGCAATCTTACTTTGTGAGCCATCAGTCAGAGTTGTGATGATTCTGGTGAGCAGCTAACTTGGAAGTTGCTACATTAAAATATCTAAGGCAGTTGGTGGTATTAGATAAAACACCTATAAAGCTGGTGGTGATAGTTAGGCTATCTTCACAAGTTTGAAAATGAGGATTCCTTGCTTTCCAAATACTCAGGTGGAATTTTATGGTGAGAATTGGCAGATGTTTATGGGAGGAATTACCTGAAAACATTAGGGTATATGTTTATACTATTTTATATTTTATCTACATTTGAGATAATATCTTAGGATATGTAAAGCATGTCACAGTTTTGTGTGTACAGAGAGAGGATTGTGCCTTTAAACATTATGAGAAATGACTTTGGCTGCAATAAATTGCAGTGGAAAAGCACTTATTTTGCTGTATCTTGCTTGTGTTTATTTTTTTGTGAAGTTAACATAGTAGATGACAGAATAGTAGCAAGTTGTTTGAATACATTTTGGATTTGGCTTAGTTCTACCTAATATAATTTTTTTCTGTATTGGTCTGTACATATATTTGTAAATACTGAGCAGAAGACATCAACAGTGATTCAGATTGTTTGAAACACTGTAGAAAAGTCTGAGATTCATTGCACTTCTCTGTGATTATTTTATCGTGATACAGATATGACAAATGCTAGTTGCGGGTTATGGATGTGAACATTGTTTATCATTGGTTACACTGTAGTATTTTGGAATTAAACTGATTTTCCATAGAGTGACAAAATAGTTCCACAGAATAGCAGGAGATTTAACCAAGATATTTATTAGGAAGTAATTCAGGTCTATGAGTAACTGAGTTTGTGAGAAAAAAATATAGAGGCTGGACACGCTTGTGCAAAATAACAATTAATAATCTTTATTCAAACACAAACAAAGTGTGTATACTTGCTTTATACAACAGAATGTTGCTTTTACTAGTTTAAGGCTACTTTCTCTCCAGACCTTTTTCATTGAAATCTTTTTTTCGATTGACTAAACCTCATTTACTTAGTTAAACCTGTAACAGCAACTTACCCCAGCATGACTAGTGCTAATCATGACTGGTCATTCCCATTAGAAAATAAGGGAGGTTTTTAACTTCTAGAGACATCACCTGGCCTACCATTGGAGGAGTCCACTGTTCACTTTCATAAACAAAGTACAGCTTTACAACTATTTTCCTCATGAGCATACTAATAGCTCTTCTTATAGTCATTACTACATATATCCCAATGTTAGAAATTAATATCAAAGAGTACAAGGCTTTGATAGCCTTCTGTACAGCTAACACTATAATGAGAGTTGTTTGCTGAATAAAAATGCTACCAAGCAACCAAAATCAAAAATATAAATAAAAACAAATGATATTTTGAACCTGGTGGTGCTTTGAATATATATATGTGTACATATATGTATATATATATATATATATATATATATATATATATATTAACTCATAAATGTTAAAAATAGTAATTTGACTCCTCAGACATAAATAAACTGTAAGAGTTAAAACCACTGATTTTATGTTTTTTACACATAGATTGATGCTTCTGAATATTTTCTCTTTTTAGTTTGTATTCATTAAGCTATGCATTGTAAAAGTTAATGAAACTGATGATACATATTTCTTTTAACTCCTTATATGATGCTTTCTATTTTGTATTACATAATCTATATACTTATAATCCTGTTTGCTGAATTAAAAAATATTGGTTTGGAAAAAAGGTGTAAGAACTCTGTTTAGCTGTCAGATTTCAAGATTCTAATTTAAGAACTGTACTTAATCCAAGTTTTTAAGTTTACAAAAGTTTAATTTTCTAGGAACTTTACATATTTTGGTATTGAATATAGTACTAGACCTCATTTAGATAATTAAAATTGATAAGTTGTTTTCAGCAGTCTTTTGAGAGCCAAATATGTTTATAGAATAATAGATTTTATATAACAAAAAGTCTTATTTTCCTTACCTTAAAACTATATAGTATATCAAGAGCCAACTTTGAAAAAATTGGAAAGAATAGTATCTAAAGTTTTGAAAAAACAACAACGCATTCATACCATGACCTCTTATTTATACTGAGGGGACTTGTGGATCTTAAATATGTTAATAATTTCTAATTATGGTATTATTTGTGAACCATTAATGTTGTGTTAGAATTCTTCACCATTCCTGCAAATTTCATACTCCTACAATCAAATAAGCAAAGTTATTGTTTTCACAATTGCATTGCACACTTTTTTTTTTAAATTCACCTGCAGCTCATACAATAACTGGCTAATTAATAGTATTTGTTAATTTGTTAATGTATTACAAGTCAAAAAAAGGTAGGCAGTAGGTGCTGCCAGCCAGTTACCTTCCCTCCAGTCTTCAGCTCAAAATTAGTGATAGTATTCTTACAATAAAAAAGACAGCATGAGCAAGTTTGGTTGAAATATTTCAATTAGTTGATTACTTTTGTGACAGTTGGTTTAATGGTAAGTTTGATTAATCACTTGGTTTATATGACACTAATCAAGTTAATCACTGCTCATCGGTAGTCGATTAAATCACCCAGCTCTATCTCATACCAGACAAGCTACACTCAAACTAGTGTTTGCATTAGATACCTAGTGTCTGGAAGCAGGGAACTGTCTAGGTTTTATTATGTTTAGGTTCAACATTGTCAAGGTTTTTATCTAATTAAATAAATGTTTTTAACTCACCTACAGCCAACACAACACATCAAAAATTGAAACATGCATATGATAACCTATGAAGGCAGATAAGAAACTTCCAGGTTTTGATTAAATTTACACAGAATTAAAAAGAAAAATATGTGATATTAGTACAAAACCAGATTTGAAAATACACTTAATGAAAAATAAAGTTGTGATATCTCACTGAAATGCCAAGTTAATTTTGGATTGTCAAACTAGGCCAGGTGTTCTATACACAATCTTAAATCACATTAAAAAAACACAAGACTCGGTTAGACAGGTAAAAACCTTATGTAGCATTATTTTCATTGATGCCGATATATTTTTATCTCTGCTTATTTTCTAACTTGGCCATCTTTTTGAGTATTTATTTGTCTCTGGCAATTGTAATTGGTGTTCATTAGAAGTTAATTTTGGGGATATTATTCATCTGTATTTCTTTAATGTTTTTGTTTTGACTTTTAGCCACTGTATTCAGCAGATATTGGAAAGTGTCCACCATTGTCATCAAAACAGTGTGGTACATAGAGATCTCAAGGTATGAATTGTGTATTTTGTCTTATATTTTTGATGGAAATAAATTTTTCTAAGAAAATTAATAATTCAGTATAAACAACAAATAAATATATGATCTTCATACATTAATTGAGAAATTAACTCCATTTTATGGGCTTTCTACCTCAATGTTTTTTAGCTTTTCCATATACATCATTTTGGATAGTCAGATAATCTGAAGATACAACTGCTTATTACAATTAAATTTGGCTGTATGTCCCTTTAAAATTAAGAATTATTAAATATTACATAGGATTTTAGGTTTTAATTTTGGCGAACTTTGTTATGAATGTTTTAGCTGCCCTGTGGTCATTCATATTTCAATTAGAAGTACACAAAAACATTGGAAGCCAGAAATATAATAGTTTGTAAAGCATATAGTTAAATGAGCTTCTGGAACATAATAGAAAATACATCTTTCCCTGTTTTCCAGTAATTTCCATTTTTAAACTTAATATCAACACCATACTATCTGTGGTACACTGCAGTGTACAACACAATCAATTGATTGTCCTCTACTGGACATTGGACATTTACTAATGCTGTCAAAGTCCATCATTTTCATCTGATCACAGTTGACTCGGAAAAAAAAGCCACTAATCTTTGGCACATCCAGAATGGCTGTTTATGCTCTTTTTCTGAGGATTGACTTCAGTGCAATGATTGTGATAGTGGTGTGGCATTTGGTGAGTTTGAGACTGGATGGAGTGGTATCTATTGGACTCTCAGACCTTTGTCAGTGAGAATAAGCCAACTCCAGCTCTGGTCAAAGCTACCTGCAAACATTGAGGTGCTTTTGTGTGGATGAAATTCACAAAGAGGAGCTATCTCATCTGACAAATGAAATGGCAAGCACCAAATGGCGAAATAGGTACACCATGGGACAGTGGCGAGACTTTATGAGCTGAGAGATATACTGCTAAGACAACCGTGGATCACAGAGGAGCCTGGGGCTGAGCAAACCTGCTGGATGAGCTACCAACAGCAATGTGTTCTCATTGTTCAAGCACAGAACTGTAAGCACTCTCAGAGATTCTTGTCCGAATGGTCGATCCCTGGTCCAGGGTGGCAGAACAACATGTTCAGGTGATGGCTTGGGAACCTTAAGGAAGAGTTTATGGCCATGATCACAGTTCTCTCTAAGCAAAGCAAAGCATATAACCTCTTCTTAGACAATTTCCTGAAGTATTTCAGGCAAGCAACCACTTATAATGGCTGGACTCCAGAGAAGGCTGTGCAACATGTAGTCTTGACTTTAGATGGTCTAGCTATAAACTTTGTTGTGCAATTGAGCAAGGAACAACTTTGGAAGTTCAAGGCAGTCATTAATGAGTAGTGTTGATGTTTGATCAAGTAGAAAATAGAGCAGTCCAATGGGCTGCTTTCAAGCATTGGAAGAGGGGTGCCATGAAAAGCTGGACCATTTACTCTGATAATCTTTGCTCTTTGTATAGTAAAGTTTACCCAGTGAAATTATGAAGTACCATGTGGGTGTGAGAGATCTTCTCAACCTTGATGAGGCAGTTTCTATGGTAATGTGGTATAAAGTGGTGACTGCAAACTAGTTGCAAGAGAGGAAGAAACCTGTAGTAGCAGCTGCAGTAGCTTCTCCTCAGACAAACAGCCCTATTCAAGCACCATGTTGGCAATCAAAAATTAACCATCTACCCACACATCCTAGCACTGTTATGCAAGCACCCTGGTATCCAGTGAGTGGGCAGTTCTGTCTCATTTCTTGCATGGTTTATATGATGCAGCTCATGCTAATGGTACTTCTGCTCAGAAGGGGCTCAATGGTTCAGAATGTTTGACCTGTCAAATTGAACAGAATGATGAGACTAGATCTTAAGGTTTAAGCACTAAGGATGGCCTGTATGAATTTCATGTCATGTCATTCAGCCTTTGTAACATGTCTGCCATATTACTGAATATTAATGATGTTAGAAAAACACGTAGGTTCAAGAAGTCTTGATAGAAATGAATAAAAACCCTATAACCCGAGCATTTTCGAAAGGTGGACCTTTCTTCTTCAGGGGCAAAGTTTTAATGTATTAAAGTTTGTTTATTGAAAAAAAATATTCAAATATCTGAAGACAATAGAAGATCATGAAAGGAAGAGGACATTTACAATACATTTTTATTGTATATTAAGGGTCTAACACCACATTATATAAGATGATTTGATGTCTTCACATAAGGAAGGATTTTCTTTATAATTAACTGCCAATATTTTCTAGTTTGTAACAGATTTATCTTAGCCTTTTGTTATGTATTAATATTCAAAACTTCAGGAATAAGTAAATATACTTAATATTAATGGACATTATTTTTTGAAAGTTTATTTTCAGTTTTTCTCAGATTATGGTTATAATTGTTTAATGGCTATTAATTCTCTAAATAAAATCTGGCCCATTGTTAAGACAATAATACTGTTCATTCTCTGTGGGCTATAGAAGTATATATTTTACTTTCATTTCATTCACTAGCCAGAGAACCTTCTTTTAGCAAGTAAGGCAAAGGGAGCAGCTGTAAAACTGGCAGATTTTGGTCTTGCTATAGAAGTGCAGGGTGACCAGCAAGCTTGGTATGGTAAGTGTAAAATGGGTGATAACTTGTGAAATTAATTGTTTTGAGTAATTTCAGGTTGTCTGTAGAGACCTTTTTTTTATCAACACCTTTGGATACTCTTAAACTTTTGCCTTTGATTATCTGAATATGTATGTATTAGAAATATTTTAATATTTGAAAAATATTTTGTTTTCAGTGTTACCTAGGTATATTATGAGTTCATTCATATTAAAAAAATTTTTAAAGTGTGAATTATCTAGTTATACTTATTTAATATGAAAACAAATTTTTGATTTTGATCTGAGCAAGGACAGGAAATTTTGTACATCTTCTGTTTCTTTGTTTTATAATTTTTTCATAAAGACTATCTGCACAGCATAGCCATACCTAATTTTGACCTGAAAAATTAGAGGGAAAGCAGCTAGTAAATAGTACACACTGCCAGTTCTTAGACTATTCTTTTGTTATTGAATAGTGAGCATTCACCATCACTCTTATAGTGCAACTACAGCCCATCTTCTGTTTCTTTGTTTTAGAATTTTTTCATAAAGCTACATAAAGACTATCTGCACAGCATAGCCATACCTAATTTTGACCTGAAAAATTAGAGGGAAGTCAGCTAGTAAATAGTACACACTGCCAGTTCTTAGACTATTCTTTTCTTATTGAATAGTGAGCATTCACCATCACTCTTATAGTGCAACTACAGCCCCAAACTGCAGGGTGGATTATTGCAACAAAGGGTTATGAACCATGAATCCTTCACACACACACTAACCACTAGTCCATGCCTGGAACAGTGCATCTTCTGATTTAATTCTTCAGTAATTTAGTCATCTGTTATATTTAACAGACATTTTATATAAAGCTTACTTTATGGTAGAAGAACATTCATTTTAAGAAACAGAGTTCAAATAATCAGAAATGTTTCTTATAATTAAAACTGTGAGACAGTCAGTTAGGTACTAACAATGGAAATTTTATTTTCAGGCTTTGCAGGTACACCAGGTTATCTATCACCAGAAGTCCTTAAGAAAGACCCCTATGGTAAACCAGTTGATATATGGGCTTGTGGTGAGTAATTATTCACTTTGGCCTCACATTAAAATTCATACACAGGATCATTATGAAGTTTTAGCATGAAAAATAACAAATAATTATTACTGTGTGGAATCATGTAGAGTTCTTATGAAAACTAAGTGAACTACAAATATTTCAGTTGGTTTTCTTCTGGCTGAAGTATGGGTTTAAGAATGTCTCTTAATATTTGTTGACCATTTTTAATTTAGAAATTGGTGCTTCATAAATTAAACAGTTCGTGATATGAATTTGGTTTACATTTCATATTGTTTCACCTATGTATTTGTTTCAGTGTTGTTTAATCAATTCATTAAATTGCTGATTGAAAAAAAAAAGTGTTGTTTTATTTTATTGGTTTTTATATTTATTTTATTGTACTTATTTGTCTTTTTCTTCTTGTTGATCATGTAAATAATGTTTTGTTTACTGCGTTCAGTCAAACCTCTCAAATATTGGTTTGTCTAGCATTTTCCTCATTATATATTGTACTGTTCTTCATTTTATAAACATGAATTATGGCCTAATATTGCTAATATTTTAAGAAATTAACAATATTCATAAGATTTTTGCCGTTAAGCTACACTTTTTGTTTTGTAAATGTTTTTAAGTACAAAAAAGTAGCTTACTTGTGTAAATATACAATACAATATCTTACATCCTTTCCTGAAAAGCTTTCTCGATTTGTACTGCCCTCTATCAGCACAAATTTCTCGCTAATCACTAGCATTGTATCTCCCACATCTTTTTGCATATGATCATGCATCAACCCTCCACCAGTAGGAGAGCAACACTACCCCTATAGTAACTAGTGCCCTCTCTAATAATGCACCTATAAACAACTTCTATATTCGCATTCTTACTGTTAAGATGTGTTTGTTTTTGCTCACAAGTTTTGTTATATTTTCATTTAGTGCTTTTATTTTCTCGATACTTTTTGTTCAGTTTGTATCAGTTTACACTTTGTAAGTATGCACTCGCTGTTTCAAGTAGTTACAACTACCACTGCTACTACTGCAACTGCGGATTGACCTACCACTTTTTTTCAGTAGAGAATTGTCTAATTTCATGTAAAATTCACCACCTGAGGAGTATCCTATCATACTAGCGCCTGATGTGTCTAATCGGGAAGATGAGAATTTGAACAGCCTTTTTTTCCTCCTCCTGAATATGCTTCTCAGTCATGTGTTGTATCAGGGGAATTATCCAGGCTTCCTCCTATCTTTGTTAACTTGATTAATCAGGTTTGTTTGATTTTTTCTTTTTCTCCTGTTTTCTATGATTCTACCCCAATCCTCCTTGTGGACGAATCTTTGGGTCAATAGCTGGTTTTTCCTCCTTCAGGAGATATCGAGGTTCATGCTAGTCATTTTGGGGAACAATTGTGATCGAGGGTCAGTATGCCTCATCTCCCCCCCCCCCCCTCATCATTCCCATGTTCATCATGTAGTCGTACTTATCTCTTCATTGGGTCGATGTTTCAGATGCATTCTCCATATTCCCATACACCATATACCAACATTTCCTTCGTTTTATTCATCATGGATGTTTTTTCAGCTTCACGTGCTTCTGTTTGGCCTAGCTTCCCTATGTGTTTTGCTAAAGTGTCTGGCCATTCATTCGACTGCTTCATTCCTGGGGCCTTTGTTTCCACCATTATATATATATATATATATATATATGACTGGCTCTTGCTGGTATCCTCACGGACTGACTTGGTCCTCCATATGCACTTTCTTCTTCAGGAAGCTGCCAGGGTCGATTGGCTCATCAAGGTGGAGAAGTCATTCCTCACACCTACTAAGTTTCTGGTTCATGTTGGTGTGTTTTTCAATTCAATTCTCAGTTGGGCCCAACCTTCTCCTACTGCACGAGAGGGTCTTTCTCTTTTGGGGACGTGGGTTTGTTTTGAAGCCCACATTCCTCTTGATTGGGCCCACATGTGCCATCTTCAGTGAGCATTAATCGACCAATGGAGCTTTGTTTGGATCCCTTGGATTCTCCTATTACCCTTCTGACAGACTTCACCTGGTGGCTGGATCAGACCAATACTACTGCAGGAGTTCTTCTTCCTCCACTTCATCTGGATTGTCACCTTTTTTACAAATGCTTCCCTTTTCCGGTTGGGGAACATATGTCGACTGTCAAGAAGTTTTGGGACAGTGGACTCCTACGAGATCCACTCTACATATCAACATCTTGGATCTCCTTGCTTTTCAGTGAGCTGGCCCTCACTTCCTGCTGCCTCTCTGGGGACAGTTGGTAATGATCCTCTCAGACAATTTGGCAATGGTGTCCTATATCCACAGGCAAGGAGGCACCAAGTTGAGGGACCTTTGCTTTTGCACCTTGGATCTTCATTACTGGGCCCACAGCCATCAAGTTACTTTGCTGGCAAATCATATTCCAGGTGCCCTGAATCTGGTTGTGGATTGGTTGTACAGACAAGCTTCTACTGACGGAGTGTTCTATGGATTCTATCATTTTTGGGGAGTTGTGTGTTCATTTGGGTGTTCCTAATTTAGACACATTTGTGTCTTCTCTCAACACGCAACTTTTCAGATTTTGGTTTCCTGTTCCTCATCTACAGGCAGATGCAGTGGATACTCTCTGCCATGATTGTACCAATTGTTACCTATATGCTTATCTTCCTATTTGGCTTCTTTTTCATGTCCTTCTGATAATTCAGACCACTCCTTGTCGAGTTTTGTTGGTGGCACCGTATTGACTGGCTCAGACATAGTTTCCACTTCTATGATGGCTGTTGATGTCACCACCCATTCTTATCCCTGTATCTCGTACTCTCCTTTCCCAGCCTCACTCTAGTGTGTGTCATCCTTTCCACACTCCATCTTCATGTGTGGCTTTTGTCCAATCCCTCGCAAGATGGTCTGGACTTTCCAGACTTGTTGCCTCCTTGATTTCCCCTCCAATTTGACCAACATCATTGGTGATTTATCAGTGTAAGTGGGCTACTTACTGCTTTTGGTCTATACACCTTCACAACCTACCATTTCTTACTTGTCACCCTTTTTCATTTGGCATTATGATAGGGGCCTATCAGTTGCCTCTGTTGGGGGTTACATGGTGGCTTTGTCTTCCTTCTTTTAGTGTACCGAATTTGCTTCTGTGTTCCATTCTCCTGCCCTAGCTATGTTATTTCATTGCTAATTCTCCCTGCTCTGCTTCTCTTTTTGATTGGAACATCAATGTTGTCATTCATGCTCTTATTCATCCTCCATTTGAACGTTTGTTGTTTTGCTCGTTATATCACCTTTCATTGAAATCCTTGTTTCTATTGTTGTTGGTGTGTGGTTGCCATTGTTCTGATGTTTTTGTGATTGACATTTGCTGTATTTTGTTCCATTATTTCTATGTTCTCCTTTTTCCCGACTGTCATTTTCTACCCAAGACTTTGGCTACTTGGGAGGGTAATTCCACTTTCACTTTCATTTCCCATCTCCTCTCTGTATGACCATTTAGATCTTCATCACCTCCTTTGCATAGTCAGGGCCCTCAGATGGTGTATGACATTCTCTGCTCCCTTTCATGGTTCCTATGTACATTTGTTTATTCATTGGAATCCTACCATTTCATATGACCTTTCTCCCATTACTCTTACAGGTTGGATTTGCCATGTTATTTGTCTGGTGATTCTTCCCTTTCTCTGGATGGTTGTTGTCTTTTTGTGTTATTTCCTATCAGATCCATCACTTGATCTTGTCCCTGTCTACCCATTTCCATCTTGCTATGGAGGACATCATCAGTGTGGGTATGTGAACTACCCTGCATACCTTTATATCTCACTACCTACATTGTGTGGCCATTTCATACTTTGTGGGTTTCCACTTGTCTCCATTTGCCATTCTGCACACCTCTGTTTCTTTGTGACTGGTAAGTACTCAGTTTCTTTTCCTTTACAGGGGCCTCTTGCTCATTGATTATGGATCCCACTCTGACCAGGTATACTTCATCTCGAATCAGCACTGTCCATCCTGTGACCATGTTAGATGACTAAAATGTTGAGGCTCTTCCCACAATGGACCTGATGTACAATCCCAGATTCTGCCAGGTGTTGGTTGATCAACTCTGTCTGATTGTCATCTATGCATTGATATAAACAATTTCTACATGACAAATCATCACATTCACAGGTTCATGTTACACACACTGTAGAAATGGGGTGTTCCATGGGATGAATCTTGGTTCTTGCTTCATAAATATGTTCCTTATGGACCATACACTCATGGACTCATGGATTACTGCTACATGGCATTGAGACTCTTCCAACTGCGGACTTGATGTACAATTCAAGATGGCGTGTTGGTTGATTGACTCCATCAACGTGGTAGCTATGCTTTTCGAAATAGGGTATCGCATCCACCCATTGCATTGTCTCCAGTGCTGTGATCTTGCAGACTCATTAACACATTTCCCCCTCCTTTCATCTAGTGGAGTATGGGAGTCCTTGCCACTTACCAGTTCCTAGATAATGGGGTGGTGAAACATGGAGGCATGTCATCCAGAAGGTACATAATACCACTCCGTTTGACAGTCAGGCAGTGGTGTTTTGTTGGTATCGTCGATGTGATACTATTCCTATCGCAGACCACTCTTTACCACTTTTACCTACGAGTTTCTCCATTCATCGTGTATGCTCAATGCTGATTGGAGTTCTGGATCGATCGGTCCCACCTCAATCACTTCCTGGTTCTTCCCCGTTTTAATATGTAGACTTTCATCACAATTTGATGGACAATATCTGCAGGACTGAGAATGCCCACAGTACACGTTCTTACTTTCATTTCTCGGGATGCTATCTTAGATTTTTTCCCCAAGTGATTCAGTACCAGTTTCGTGCCTTGCCCTTCAGATTTCTTTTGGTTCCATATGTCTATTATCAGGTGGTCTGCATCTTACCTGACTTTCACATTTTGGGGTATTTTACTAACCCCACTACTTGGATGTCTGGCTTTGGTTAGCTCCTTTCGAATAGGAGTGGTTGTAACATACTCATCTACTCCTTACACAAGCAGCTCGGTTGGTTGGATTTTTCAGTTGGATAAGTTTTCCTGTTACCTACCTAACAATTTCGGCTATTTGGGGAGTGTTTTTTTAATCACTCACCTCTGTCGGTGCCATCCATTCTTCTGCTTAAATGCATTCATTGGAGCTTTTTGTTATCCACACCATTTCGGTTAGCTATCTTACAGCTAGTGAGGTTCTAATGCATTAGGGGATGTGGCTACTATGGAAGCACTTCTCCCTTTGGATCTGGCACATTTGTGATCTTTTCAGGAGATGCTGAACAACCCATGGTCTCTTGCTAGGGTTCCTTTGGATTATTTTCTTAACTTTCCTCCTTCCCTGTTCAACTATATGCGTTGGTGGTTGAACATATCCCCTGTGTCATCGGGTTTACAGATTCCTCCCCATCATTTGGATTTGATTCTTTTCCCTGTTGCTCATTTCCAAAGTTAGGGGGTGTGGGTTGATCTGAAGGAGGCTTCAGGACATTGGTCTATGGACTAAAGGTCTTACCATGTTAACACCCTGGCACTTCTGACAGTCCAGTATGCTTTAGTTCACTTTCTTCCTCTTGTCCGTATTTGACTAATCATGTTTCATTCCAACTATTCAATGGTGGTGGCTTATAACACTTGCCAAGGAGTTCTTGTTCTCTTTGTGGTAGACAGCGTATCTCCCTTTTTCAGGTGCTTTTGTCCTCATTGCAGATCACCTTTCCAGTCCCAATGCACTTTCTCCCAAGGAGTGGCCTCATGATCCTTAAATTTTTGGTGCTTTGCCTCCTGTGGGGTACTCCTCCATGGGAAGCATTTGACTCCTTTCTAGGTTCCAAGTTACCTCTTTTGTTTTTGGTCTCTGGTTCACCATCCACTCACCTTAGCTATCGATATGTTCAGACAGGATTAGATCTAGTTAATAACTTTAGTTTTTCTCCTGGCATCACCTTTTTTCCCAAGGTGATTTTGATCATCCATGTCACTCAAAGTCAGGTCTTTCTAATTGATCCTTCCTGGCCAGGACAGACCTGGTTATCTTGATTGTTTCTGCTTGATATATGCTTTTTATTCTGACTCTATTTTACTAACCTAGACTTTGGGGGCTCATGTGGAATATTCTTTTCATCATTTTCATTTCTTGCTGTCTTCCACCTTTATACTCGGTTGGATCTGAATGACTTTCTCTGTCCTGTACATGCTCTGGGTTGCTTCATTGTTTTCAAGGCTTATTTTCATTGACTACATTTCCCACAGTTTCTTTCCCTCGCACCACTCTTTTGCTTGGGATTTTGTTTTCCCTTCCTCTCTTACTCATTGGGTTTGGCTTGTGATTTGATTGGCCTTTTATTCCTTGTCTTTTTCTTCCCGTAATCAATTCCTGGTGTCTTCACTCTGTTCAGGCACCTTACTTCTTACCTGCATCTCAACCCCGTTGTCCGTTAGAGGTACTTCATCTGTCGAGCACTGGGACTACACCTCATATGTTCATCTCCAATTACCTGCTTTGGGTAGCTGTTTCTTCTCAGCCAGGGTACTGTCTTCTACCTGTTGCCATCATTCACTCTTTGATGAGACTGTAACTGTGTAAGTTTTCTTTCTTTTGTTATATATATCATTTTTCAAGGGCCTCACTTAGAATTATACTAAAACCCACTTTGTAAGGCCATGTTGACTTCACTTTCACAACTTCCATGGCCACAAAATGCAACGATTACATAAACTAGAGAGATGGGGTGTTCCACATGATCGCTCGGAGGTTATTCCTTGCAATATCTTTGCTTTATAAGTATGTCACTTTTGGATCATACCTAAGCAGAAGGGGATTGCTGCCCATCCCTGCCATTCCCTAGATTGAATAAATTGGGTTTGGTCTGCTTTTCAAAATAGGGTTTTGTGGTCACCCCCTTGCACTGTCTTCAGTGTGAACATTACTCTGGGAGATTGAAATTATAATATATTGTGGTTAGGATCAATGTCAAACCATTTTTGCCACAATTGGGATGTGTTTCACACAATGTTCTGCTGGATATGTCACACCTTTTCCATATCTGGGTGAAGAGTATACATGGTACAGAAGTGGTTTGGTCTCCCTTGTATAATCCTCATTAAAGTGTAATGTGAATGCTTCTACTTTCTTCCTCGCACTGGTCCCTCCACCTATTCATTGTGGGATTGTAGCTGTGTTTGTGAGAAGAGGTAAGGTATCTTGTTGGAAGGTATAATTTTTTCTACACTGAAAATGTATTTCCGACAGATACTTACTTCCACTCACACTTCCCACTCTTTCTCTCCACTGCCAACCAGTGCTTAAGTTTCAACCTAAACTCAAAGGTAGAATAGCATAGAGGGAGTCATGTGGGTGTGTGGCACTACTGTTGGTGGAGGTTTTTCACATGATAATTTGCATCCGAGAATCAGTTAAACCATGTGAATCGAGAGGAATGTGGGAGTGAAAGGCTTGTGGCTTGCGAAATATTTTTTGCAAATAGAGGGCAACACTGAATGAGAATAGCTATGTATGTGAGAAGAAGCAAGTACCTGTCAGAAATACATTTTCAGTGTAGGAAAATAATAAGTATTTTAATTTCCATAATGATAATTGGAATATTCTGGACATTTTTTGTGTTTGGATATAGAAATAAGATATTTAAACTCTTAAGTAATTAACTACATCAAACATATTGGCTTGAACTGTCATCCTAATGTATGGTCTACATTTTAAGGATATTCTAGAAGAACAACAGGTTGTAATTATATTTTTAGTCATTTGTAGGTTTGATGCTATGTTATTTTTCAGATTAATTAATGGTCATATAAATGTTTTTATGTCATTGCAAAGTGTACAACTCTGATGACTAACTTCATCATTTGTGTCTTCATTTTAGTCACTTTTATTTAAGAAAGTATTTTTTTATCTATTTATTATTTAGGTTAATAATATTTTGTTGGGCTGATTATAATTTGACTAATCACATGTAAGCTGATTTTCAACAAAAAGCTCATTAATCACTATTTACAGTCCTTTGATTTTGATATATTGATAATAGTTTGTACCATATGTTAAGGGAATAAAATCATTTTTCTGTAATATGATCCTAAACAAAGTGTATCAGTGATGTACATGTATATATAAATAAAATGATACAGGTTGAGCTAAGTAACTTCAAGACTTGTACCTTATGTGATCTTCATTAAATTAATCTAACATTTGATGAAAGAGGATGCATTATGCACACTTTTTTGCCACATGTGTTTGAGTACTATAAATTGAATCACTGTACAAGAACCAGCATTAAAGCCAAACCTATACTTCATACCATTTTTATTAACACCAGAAAACAAAGAAACTGATTTAGGCAAAATAGAGACCCTTTGAAATCTACAAAAAAAGTGCCACCTGCCATAAGACTTAATAATGTGCATTTTTCTGCATTTCTGAGATGTCAGAACTACTAGAAATGTGTAATGATGTAAAACTTCATAAAACACAGCTTCATTAATAAAAGAGTGATGCCAAAGGATCATTCATGATTAAAGCAAGAGACTGGACCTTTTCTTTTATAAATAGAAAGAAAGGTTATTATTGAGACTTTTAAATAGTGTTTAACATAAAAACAAATTGTGAGAGTAGCAGTTAATTCTGAGCCTTAATTATTTCCCTCAAATACACATTAAAAGTTTTAAAACAATAAGCAGCAGAAATTTATATTGTTTAATAATAACACAATTAATCAGTGCAGATTTTAACCATTATTTTTCACCCATGTATTGAAAATTGGAATCTGACTGAAAGAATCTGACTGGCTAGCATAAAATTAGATAATTAAAAGTTATTTTTTTTATTAAAATAGCTTTTTATTAATTATGAAGGGACTATTATCTTGTTTTGTGGACCTTGCTAGTAGTTAACTGAGCAAGGAGTTTTTAATAGTTTTAGAAAAAAAGTTGATTAATTGATCTATTTTCGTTTTAGGTTTTATGAAGCTGATAAGAGTTTGAATGTAATTGGACTTTACTACAATAATAATTTGTCAGACCTTCATTATTTGTTTAAAGAAAAGCTTGATTAGATGTGTTTTTTATGCGTAATTGGTGCAATAGAGTATCATGAGAGTGTCTGCCTCATTAGTTTATGTGTTTGTCTTCTTGTTTAGTCATAATTAGCTGAATCTTGTGAGTATATTTCAGCAAAAAAAAATATGTACAACTGAAAAAGAAGTATGAATTGGTATATGTCGATAATTGTGTTTTAGTGACAACTATTTTGACAGTACCATAAATTTATACTGTAAATAGAATGTGTTATCAGAAATGTTCATTACTAGTTTTTGTAGAACATAAATCGGAATTATAATTAATTGATTCTGAGAACAAAAACCTGTACCACCTTGGATCATGATGATTTTTTTACGCTTGACCTTGTATTTTCCAGGAGTGATACTGTACATATTATTAGTTGGTTATCCTCCATTCTGGGATGAAGACCAACATAGACTGTATGCGCAGATTAAAGCTGGTGCATATGATGTAAGTTAAATCCTGTATTTTATAAAGGCTTTGTTATATTTAAGGATTATTATTTGAATAAAAATCAAGCATTATATGCTTCTGATATTGTTTGAACCAATAATGTTTTTTTAGGTATTTTTGTTATTATAAATGCTAATAAACTTGCCATAATAAATATATTATAGATACATTTATGGTAAGATTTTGATTAAATTATGTTTAAAAGTTGTGTAGGTTGTTATTATTATCAATATTAGATTTTATTTAAGTTATGCATGTATATATTTTTTCTACCAAACACATGTATAAATTATTGTTTAAAAAGGCCTTTTTGGTTACTTTTAGGATTGTTTAACCTAATACTAAGTTGCTATTTCTGCACATGTGTACACTAATTCATTATCATTTTTTAATTTTATTTTCAAAACTTGAGTGTTAAAGATCAAAATGAAGACACAATTAAGAGTACACTGCATATATATAGTTATTATCAGCCTTAAAGGATTGTTTGTTGGTTGTTGACGTTTTTTAAACTGAGAACGTTGGTGTTTGTTTTCTATTTTTGAAAGTACATGTATGTTCATATGAGTGTGCTTGAGTAACCCAGCTTATAACTAATGGGAAGAAGTATACATATGTGTATTTTATATAAAAGCTTTTTTTTTTGTTTGGCAGAACACTTTACGTTCCAAAAAAAAGATTTATTACAATATATATATATTGCTTTTTCCCCCCTAGTATCCTTCCCCTGAGTGGGACACAGTTACCCCAGAAGCCAAGAATCTCATTAACAGTATGTTAACTGTGAATCCTGCTAAGAGGATCACAGCTTCAGAAGCTTTGAAACATCCTTGGATATGTGTAAGTACATGTTACTGTTACATCATATGAGAAGTGTAAGGTAACAGTGTACTAGTAAGTTTATTATCCTTTGTTAGGCTTTCTGACTTTATATGTATTGGTATGTTGAAAGGTCATAATTTTCTTTTTTGAAAATAATTTATGTATTGATATCATGTAATTCTCACAGGTGATGTAAAAGTATATATGTAAATGTAATAAGATGTTAATAATTTCTTTATTCACACAACCAAACAACAACAAAAAAAATTGTAGTAAATGGTAGAAAGTAAAATTATTTTGTGTGTTCAAGCTATCATTTTGCTTGCCTCAGGATGTATATTATATTATAACAAAATTATTATTATTATAAGTGAACTTAAGCTTTTAAGGTGAGATAGCATTTTCTTAAACATGTAACATTGTATGTGGTAATTTATAAACTTAAGGTACCTGTTGATATTAACTGAAAATTAACATTGAAATGTGTGGTATACATATATCATTATAGTAGCCTGGTTTCTACACTAAAAGTTTTATATCTTGAATGTAATTTGTTAAATTTTTAATATGATGTATACATGTATTGGTAGTTTGTTTTTAAAGAAAAGGTAACATCATTTTTTATTATTACATGTGTTCAATCAGTGTGTTTAAATTTCTAAGTTTTTAGCAGTTTCTATTATATTTTGAAAGGAGAATGAAGTCATGAATACTAGATTTTGAAATAATTTCACAATTATTTGCAGTTATTGGTCAGGTTTATTTTAACTGCATTATATTTTCAGTGTAAAGTCCACTGTTCTGTACCTTAACTTTTAATGCTGCAATACACAGCATGGTCACAAGTAAATAGACACCACATTTTCAGAAAAAATGAAATTTTTCAGTCATATTCACGTGAATTGATATATTTATAATTTAATTAATATCTAGTAGATCTTCCTTTCACTTTGGGGAGTTCGTTGATCCTTTGGGGCATCGTGAGAATCATCTCGTCAGTTTTAGATTGTGGGATTTTCGCTCACTCTTGCTTCAAAACTTGGAGTAGATCGTTCTTCAAAGTTGTTTTTTTTAATTGTTTCTTGATTTGCCAGTCGAGTATGGCCCAGAGGTTTTCGATTGGGCTCATGTCAGGAGATTGGCTCGGCCAGGGCAACTTCTGGATACCATTTTCTTCCTGCCACTTTTGGGTGTTTCTAGCAGTGTGACACGGTGCTCCATCTTCCTGGAACAACGTTGTGTTCTTGTCCACGAAAGCCAAGGAATAAAGTGGCAAGAGTCCTTCCTCCAATATTTCGACGTATTTCGCAAAATTTATGTTACCAACGCAACTTTTTTACATTTAATGATCACAATAAATTCACGTATATTT